CTCGGAAATCCTATAAATGGTCACTATGTGTCAGAACCAACGTGGTGGCACACAATCACTGCCACCATCCAACCACTGCTTCTGTGTTAAGTGCTTTCAAGTCAGTTCATAGTGACTTTGTGTAGGGTTTCCAAGGAACAGCTAGTGGGTTTGTACCACTAACCTTATGGGTAGCAGACCAGTGCTGATGCTACAGTGCCACAGCAGGACTCTAGCCAACCATTTAGCCATTGTTGCTACTATTGTTACATTACATAGAGTCGTTTCCCACTCATAGCAACCCTGTATAGGTTTTCCAAGAAGCAGCTGGTGAGTTTGAACCGCTGACCTTACGGTTCAAACTGACCTTTCAGTCCAGTCCTTATCCTATAGTGCCATACCAGGATTCCATTAAGACTGGCCTTTTTTCTGATTTTGAGTTTTGTTCCACAGTTTTCTCCCACTCTATGCAGGATTTTATCCTGTGAGCCCTTTCAGAGCAGTTAACCACCATCAACTATCTGGCCTCAGAGTCGCGGAGCCAGTTGTTGCCATGCTCCAGTTAGTTCATTGGACTAGTTTCCACGCATCTTCAATTTTCCTCACTTTTCTCTTTCAGATAGGGAGAGACCAACAGTTGGACACTCACAAGTTTAACAACCCAGTCTCTACTCACCAAAGTAGGATGTAGACCATGGCTAGTCATGAACTAAACTGTCAATTAACCTTAGTGTTCCCTGAGACAATGGTCCTGAGTCTCCTGTAGTTTGATTTTTAAATAAAGTTTATCCTGCTGATTTAAAAAGAATGCAAGTTCACTGTAGAAAATTTGAGACATTATAAAGATAAAAATAAACCCCATTCAAAATCTTAACACGCAGATAACCGTTGGCTTCCTTCCAGAAAAATTTACGTATTTCCTATGCAAATTTGAGTATATGTTTTCCAGTTAGATTTGTATCATGTTTGTTTAAACTTTCTGTTGTAACTCTGGGTACATATGTATAAAGAAACAGAGAACATTTACTGACTTCTTATTACATAGAAAATACTGTGCCAAGCCGATTTTCATAGATCATTTTAATTCTCACATTATCCCTTTGAAGTGCTATCATCCACATTTCACAGATAAAGCAGTCGAGGCAATAATTTCCTGAAAGTAACACTACTAGTAAGTGATGTAATCAGAATAGATACCCTGACATCCCGGCTCAGTCCATGCTTTGACCACTCTGTTCTACGTATGTCCCAGGTCATTCAGCATCCTTTGAAAACATGATTTTAAATGCTGTTGAATAGTATTCACTAATATAAATGCACCAAGCCTTAATTCATTTCCGTAGTGTTAAGCATTTATGTTGTTTCCAGTATCTTGCTTTTGAAAATTAATATTTACTTCAAAGAACATCTTTGTGCATACAAATCTTTGTCTTTTAATGACTGAATCTCTCATATGATTAGGACTCAAAGAAATTTCAGGATCCAAACGAGAGCTATAATTGAACTTCAATGGAATTATTGAAAAGGACATTTGTAAAATCTTTATTTGAAAAAGGACTAACATCCTGGGTATAAATTTATTCTGCATCTTTTTTGGCTATAATAAATGTAGCTATCAGGATACCGTTTAAGTGCTAGCTCTGACACCTGCCAGCTGTGTGGTCTTGAGCAGGTCACTCAACCTCTCTGAGGTTCATTTGTCACACCATGAAATGCAACTCACAAGGTTTGGCAGGATTTAATGAAGTGCTCTGTCAAGCCCCTGACATACTTAGTAGTGCTCTGTGTCCTATTGAAGGTAGTTGACCTCTGGCAGGGCCAGTGAGTGAATGGGGAGAAGTGTCCTTCAGAAGGGGGGAGCATGTAAGCATCTGACTCCTACTTGTGGGAGTGTGTGGGTGTGGCACCCTGAGAGAGGATTAGGTTTAGGGGGTAAGGCGGGGATGAGGGGCCCCTCACTGGGGAAACGGGGAAACGGCTTGGTGGCAAAGCAGCTGAGGCACAGCTGGGGCTGTGACCTAGAAGGCAATCTTGTGGGCACCTCTTCCCCAAGCCCACACCTTGTGTCTGCAGCTGGTACTGTCTGCTCTGGGTAGGCCATGGCTGAACCTTGGTTGCTGCTTCTCCTGGCCCTCGGGTGTCCAGCCCTGCCCACAGGTGAGTTCTCTACCTGGGTCCCTTTCTGTCCCTTACTAGTCTGCCTAAGCCTACTCCTGCATTCTGAGCCTCCTTGCGTATGGGTGAGATTCAGGACAAGAGTCATTTGGGGCCCTTGGAGGTTCACACCAGAAACCTCTTACTCCCTTCCCCTTTGTGTTCTAACTGCCTCACTCTGGGGTCTCCAAGTCCTGCTCCCTTAGAGTCCAGGGCTGATAAGAAATACAGTCACCTCTTGGAGGAATAGAGAAGAGCAGGATGTATGGGGCCTCACGGGGGCTGGAAATTAGGGTAGTCCGTGCTGTGTTGTGCCAATAGACTGATGGGACCTAGGCAACATTGTGAAGCTCTGTTCTGCTTGCCCTCTTCCCCACAGAGTACCCTATTTCAATGGGACTCACAGTGTCTTGGATCCATGCCCCTTATTTCAAAGGGCTGTTAGTGTCTTCCCAGGGAGCTTTACCCTAACCTCCAAATATCAAAGCTGGAGCTGAAGGGGTAATGTTTTGAGGGGAGAATTCCAACATTAGTGGAGGAAGGTCTTTTGGGTGTCCTTGACCTAAATCTGCCCACCCCAATCTGTTATAGACTGTCTATCCATGCTGTTGTTGTTAAGTGCCATGCAGCTGGTTCGACTCATAATGACCCTGTATAGGAATTCCGAGGAGGGGCTGGGGTGTTTGAACCTCCAACCTTGTGGTTCAAGCCAACCTCGAGGTAGAGTGTTTAACCTACGGCACCACACCAGGACTCCTTGAATAAATCTCACCACCTTGGAGCAAGAAGAGCTCATGCTAGGAAGACTGAGCAACCAGGTGAAGAGGAGCAATCCTAGAAGGCTTCATGGGGGAGGTGGGAGCTGAATTTAACTTGAGAAGTATCTCTGTATAATTGAAAAATCTCAAGTTTGAGGAACCTGGAGCTCACTCCCAGTCTGCTCTTTGCTTCCTTTATTTGCAATGGCCGATTAATATTAAGATTGAGAGTAATAACAGTAATACTCATCTGACAGGGCATTTTACATTTATGTTCTATTCACAACTTTATTGAGCTGGTGTGACTAGCCTCATTATATTGATGGAGCAACTGAGACTTGGCACATAATTGGAGGAGTCAGGAGTCAAGCCAGCTCTGTCTGAAGCCATGTCCCAGGCCTGGTCTATTATGCTTTATTGGTTTTGGGTTTTGGTCCAGTATGTTTTGTGGCAAAATTTAATCATCCTTCAAATTAGGATGGTCTACATGAATGAGAAGGAACCCTGGTAGCGTACTGGTCAGCAGTTTGAACTACCAGTGGCTCCAAGGGAGAAAGATGAGGCTTTCTGCTCCAGTAAAGAGTTACAGCCTCAGAAACCCTTTTGAGGGTTGCTATGAGTCAGAACCAATTTGGTGGCACACAACCACCACCACCACCACCATCACCACCGCCACCACCACATGAATGAGCATGGAATTTGAAGTCCCATAGATCTGATTTCAAATCTGACCAAGCTACTTACCAACCATGGGCTCCCTGGCCAGTTATTTGACCTTTAAGAAATCTTTCCTGAACATCAGCCCCACCTCCCTGCAAGATTCTCAGGCATCCTTCCCCTGCACTTTGGGACATTTCTTTAGCTTGGCTGCACTTAACCATGGTGTGAATTTGTTTGTAGGGTTTTATGTTTGAGATTTTAGTGATATGAAATAATATCCAAATATTTTAAAATAAAATAATATTTTGTTATATATTAAAGGATTCATCTTTATTAAAAATAATAGGAGAAGTCAGGACTATTCTAAAAAAGATAGGACAAATGTTTCCAGTACCAAATGATTTATTTATTCATTAAATTATAAAATAAAACACAGCTGTAGTAAAGGCTGGAGTCCTGGTGAGGCACTGTAGGATAAGTACTGGACTGCTAACTGCAAGGTTGGCAGTTCAAACCCACCAGCCACTTCTTAGAAACCCTGTACAGGAACCAGCACAATGGCACTTAACAACAACATAGTAAAGACCCCCAAAATAATACAACAAACATATACGCACCCTCCAAATGCTAACATTTTGCTGGATTTGAATCAGAACTTTTTTTTTTTTAAAGAAACAAAACGTTAAGGGTACCTTTGAAACTTTCTTTGATCTCATTCCAGATCCTATTTCTTTCCCTTTCTCCCCAGAGGTAATCACTCCTGAGGATGGCACAACATTGTATTATAACATATTATAATTATTTGTTTGTAGACCTGTCTTTCCCATGGGACTGAGTTCCTTGAGGGCAGAGATAATGTCTTACTCGATCCCCAGTGCCTGTAATAGAAAGGGTGGATGGATGGGTAGATGAATGAATAGATTGGACATATAGACAGAAGATAAAAATAATGGATGAATGGATGGATGGAAGGGAGGGTGGTTAGATGGGTAAATGCAAGGAGGGAAGGATAGGTGTGTGAGTGATAGGATAGATGGATGGTGGAAAGGTAGGTGGAAGAATAGAAACCCAAAAGCCTAGCTTAGAATGAGATTCTGGCCTGGGGGCATAGACTGATCTAGTCCTCCATAGGTATGTCCTCTCTTGCAGGTGTGGGTGGCACACCCTTCCCTTCTTTGGCCCCACCAATCACTCTATTGGTGGATGGGAAGCAACAGACGCTGGTGGTCTGCCTGGTCCTGGATGTTGCACCCCCTGGCCTGGACACCTCCATCTGGTTCTCAGCTGGCAATGGCAGTGCCTTGGATGCTTTCACCTATGGCCCTTCCCCAGCGGCAGATGGCACTTGGACTAGCTTGGCCCAGCTCTCCCTGCCCTCCGAAGAGCTGACAGCTTGGGAGACCTTGGTCTGCCACACAGGTCCTGGGGCTGAGGGCAGCAGCTGGAGCACACAACCCCTACAGCTGTCAGGTGTGGATGGAGCTCTCGGTCCCCTTTCACATAGCAGGGTACCGTGGGAGGGAGGGAACGCAGGCTGCAGGCCACTGAGGTGTGGTAATGTCTGGCCTCAGAGCAGGGTGGCCTCAGGGCCATAAATCCTGGGATTTCCAACTGTGATACCTTGTTTAAATCTTGGCTCTCTTTCCCTACTTCCAAGAGATAAAAATGCCCCTCTCTCCTTGTTGTTGTTATTGCTGAGTGCCATTGAGTCAGTTCCATTGTTGGGTTTGAACCACTAACCTCATGGCTAACAGTCCAACGCTTATCCTATAACACCAG